GATTATAGGGTATTTACCTATGTTGTGAATTATATATCCTAGTGTTTTGTGATAAACCGGTAATGTGTTATAGATCATACTGTAATTGTTGTATGATTATAGTGTTTTGTGATATAATAAATTACACATAAACCCTATCATTTTGTATTATGGTGGGAGGTTCTGAAGGTGACATTAATCTGGTATAATTGTTGAATTTTAACACAACGAGCCTTACATAGAGGTAGTTCCAGTGTGTGTGTGTGTGTGTGTGTGTGTGTGTGTGTGTGTGTGTGTGTGTGTGTGTGTGTGTGTGTGTGTGTGTGTGTGTGTGTGTGTGTGTGTGTGTGTGTGTGTGTGTGTGTGTGTGTGTGTGTGTGTGTGTGTGTGTGTGTGTGTGTGTGTGTGTGTGTGTGTGTGTGTGTGTGTGTGTGTGTGTGTGTGTGTGTGTGTGTGTGTGTGTGTGTGTGTGTGTGTGTGTGTGTGTGTGTGTGTGTGTGTGTGTGTGTGTGTGTGTGTGTGTGTGTGTGTGTGTGTGTGTGTGTGTGTGTGTGTGTGTGTGTGTGTGTGTGTGTGTGTGTGTGTGTGTGTGTGTGTGTGTGTGTGTGTGTGTGTGTTGTGTGTGTGTGTGTGTGTGTGTGTGTGTGTGTGTGTGTGTGTGTGTGTGTGTGTGTGTGTGTGTTTGTGTGTGTGTGTGTGTGTGTGTGTTGTGTAAAGCCAGGCCTGTTAGTATGGGTGTGTATTTAAGTGTGAAGTACTGTATGTTGATGCTGGACACACTGCGAGTATTATGACCTTCAAGTATGAGACTCAGGTCGAGGAGTTAAGTCAACAAGAATTCAATTTTCATTACAAATATTCTGTTGATAAAGGTGTGTGTGTGTGTGTATGTATTTACGTTTATATGTACAGTAGGTATATGACACACACACACACACACACACACACACACACACACACACACACACACACACACACACACACACAATGCCGATCCGCTTGTATGTTATTCTTTCATTCTCTGGAAAGGACAGGAGAATTCACGGAGAAATGTTTGCAATGGTTAGAGAGAGAGAGAGAGAGAGAGAGTATTGGCAAATAAGAGTTCACGTATGCAGGAGAGGTTTGTCCTGAGTATGACAGGTGAAAAAACCACTAAAACGGCAGGTAGTACGGGGGCTGTAATGGTTATCTGATCAAGCCGGGGAGAATGTTGAGCTGTGAAGGGGAGGGAATGTTATGGGAAGGGGAGAATGTGTGGGGGATGAATGTTGAGCTGGGAAGGAGGAATGTGTGTGGGGGATGAATGTTGATGTGAAGGGAGGAATGTATGTGGGGGATGAATGTTGAGCTGGGAAGGGGATGAATGTTGAGCTGTGAAGGGGAGGAATGTGTGTGGGGGGATGAATGTTGAGCTGTGAAGGGGAGGGAATGTGTGGGGGATGAATGTTGAGCTGGAAGGATGGAATGTTGAGCGTAGGGGAATGTGGGGGATGTAATGTGAAGGGAGGAATGTATGTGGGGGATGAATGTTCAGCTGTGAAGGGAGGAATGTATGTGGGGGGATGAATGTTGAGCTGGGAAGGGGATGAATGTTGAGCTGTGAAGGGAGGGAATGTGTGTGGAGATGAATGTTGAGCTGTGAAGGGGAGGGAATGTGTGTGGGGCATGAATGTTGAGCTGTGAAGGGGAGGAATGTGTGGGATGAATGTTGAGCTGTGATGGGGAGGGAATGTGTGTGGGGGCATGAATGTTGAGCTGTGAAGGGGAGGAATGTATGTGGGGGATGAATGTTGAGCTGTGAAGGGAGAATGGGGATGAATGTTGAGCTGTGTGTGTGTGTGGGAGGGGTGGGAGGTGGATGTTGAGCTGTGAAGGGAGGAATGTTGAGTTGAGGGGATGAATGTTGAGCTGTGAGGAGGAATGGATGTTGAGTTGTGAAGGGAGGAATGTTGAGCTGTGTTGGGGAGGATTGTTAAGGTGTGTGGGGGATGAATGTTGAACTGTGGGGAGGAATGAATGTTGAGAACTGTGGGGAGGAATGAATGTTGTACTGCGTATGTGGGGGATGATTGTTTAATTGTATATGGAAGATGAGGGTCAAAGTTAAACTGAGAGGGAGTGATGAATGTTGAACTGTATGTGTGTGTTAGGGGGGGGGGGGCATACAGTTCAGAGTAACCCTTAACTCAGCACATGGGAGGATAATATCAACATCAAGGTGTAATACAGTACAGGTAGGTACATGGTCTTAGAGAGTCTGTAATTGTATTGAGTTACAGGCAGGTGTTGTTTATGTAGGGAGTGGGGGTGATGGTGATGGTGGATGTGGGGAGTGGATGTGGAGTGTGTGTGTGTGTCCGTCTGAGCAACACAGCCACTCTGCCCCACCCCGGATTATTCCTCTCTGTTGAATATTTACTCTGTCGTGATCAGAATATGCCTCGAGTCATCTTTCTCGCTTCCCCCTCGGTGATCCTCCATATGTATGCGTATCTGGTATCGAAAATATGATCTTGTATGGGAAGTTTGGGCTTGTATGGGAAGTTTGGTCTTGTATGGGAAGTTTGGTCTTGTACGGGAAGTTTGGTCTTGTATGGGAAGTTTGGTCTTGTATGGGAAGTTTGGTCTTGTATGGGAAGTTTGGTCTTGTATGGGAAGTTTGGTCTTGCATAGGAAGTTTGATCTTACAGGAGAAATACAGCGAGGAGTTATATTCTTTGCGTCTTCTTATGTAATACTGTAAGAATATCTGTTGTCACTATTTTAGCCTTTTAATATTTACTCTTATGTCGTACTCAATATTCTCTTGTACAAAACTCCATATGGGGGACGTAGTACTTATGTTACTTGTATATTATTTGTAATTCGAAACCCATCCCCAAATATGTAGCTGTATATTTTCAGCCTTCTGACTGCCAAGCTCTTTCAATAAACCGTTAATTATTATTATTATTATTACTTGCCTCCTACATATGTAAGTCTGTACATGGACTTGAAAATTACACATCATGTCATTTGTTGTTGCTTGAATAGTTGATGTAGGAAATAACGTGAGAAAAATTATACCTTGGTTTCTTAGTTGATATATAAGTGTGTGTATGTATGTTGCGGTGGTATTGTATAATGTTGTGGTGGTATTGTATGTATGTTGTGGTGGTATTGTATGTATGTTGCGGTGGTATTGTATAATGTTGTGGTGGTATTGTATGATGTGGTATTCTATGAGTGTGTGTGTGTGTGTGTGTGTGTGTGTGTGTTTTACGGCAAAGAGAGTTAACTTGTTTTGATGTTCCAATCGCCTTTTAAAGTGTGGATACCATTCGGAATTCGGTTTTGATGGTGTTAGATACCTGTGTGTAATATGTGTTGTGATCAAAACATATTGATAGTCGATGGAAAACAAATACTATTTTGCTAGTAATCCTCGTTGCTGTAAAGAACACGAGGAAAAATGTAATTGGAAGTTTTGACTTCAAACACCGTTTCAGTAGCGCAGAATGTCGCGTGTAGATGGCAGCACAGGCTGGTAAACAAAACTTTTGGCGCGGCTGTTACAAGGTAGTAAAAAAAATGTCCCCGTCATCTACCTCAAAGCGCTGCCATCTCACCGCGGCACTTGACACCAACACACGATACGAAAATGTACAGTTGGAAAAACGTGCGATATCGTGGGGGAAGTTAAAGGCAGAGGCGAATATTGGGGTACTGATGGGTGTCGGCTGGCGTCACCTGTCCCAGAGCTGCGCCAAATCCCTCGCTCGCCTCCCAGAATACTGATTTTGTCATGTGGATGTGGCTCAGGCCGTCCCCAGAGCACACCCGGGAGTTTTGGGGGAAGTTTGTATCAATATAAGGCTTTTGGGTGTGTACACAGGCTAGGCCAGCAGAGGAAGGAGACTGTATCTTTGTTGTTTACCTGTTAAACGTGTGTGTGTGTACTGTCATCAATTTGTATTTTTCTGGTTCCCCCTTCGAATGTGGAAGAGGCATAGCTTTACCCTGGTCTGTCTCTCTGTCCTTATATACACACTAACTCTTCTTAACTACTGTTGGCCTGACTGTTCTGAAGCTCCGTAAACCATGTAGTGATGAACACCATCATCATGATTAACAGGAAGTAAAGCCTGGCACCGGTGACGCTCTCTTAACATTATAAGACTTACGATCTCGTAATAAATGCGCACAAATATCATTCCGTTGAGAGCTGTATGTGATGGTGTAAGGAATAAAACACGGCATTTATCGCTTGACGACACTTTATTTTTTCATAAACTTTCTTAATACAATTTATATATATTCATCTATATATTTAAGGTTGTGTTTATACATTCGTGTTCAGGGACGGCGCCTGATCGGTAAGACGAATAACTTATCCATGGCACCTCAAGGCTCGCCTCTCCTGGCTCAGTGGGTGTCCAGGAACCCAGTTAGTGAAACAGGAAGGTGAACCTGACAGATGAAACTGACTGCTAAAGCTGACGATAAGAACCTGGGCAGTGAACCTGGCACCTAAATAAATACTAACAAGGGAGATATTCACAGGTACTGTACTGGCAGGCTCTCTGGCTAGAGAACCCAACAAGGGAAACTGGCAAGTGAAGCTAACAGTAATCCATACCCCAGGTGACTCTGGCGGGTACGTCCTGTCATCACGCCTGGAAGATGTTCACTGCAGCTAATCCCAGTACACGAAGCTGGGGGTGGAGGTGTGGATCCGGTGATGATGCAAGTGTACACGACGGTCGATAGTAGAGAGAAGGTGGAAGAAGTTCAGGCAAAGGTGTTGAAGAAATACAAATGGAAGCAAATTACTGGATGGGGGTGGTGAGGTGACCAAGAGGAACTTAGTCACACACCTGGACTTGACCAGAAATGGATTTAATCTTGTTAATCAGGAGCTGGTGCAGGTGTGAAAGACAGGTGTTTAGGGGAGCCTTGGTTTGATCATGGTAAAAAGACATCTGTCAGTGATTGGCCATTTATATAGAACCCAAGGAGTGCAATGAAAAACCTAATGAATACTGTCTAGGTAACTCTGTGAAATGAGAGTGGCTCAAAAAAATATTTAGACTGCGCTTAATGTGTTATACAGGTGTTGGTGGCACTTGTTGTGACGCAGTTAACACCTGTATAACACCTGCCTAACACTAGCTTGAAGAGGTGAGATAATGAGAATACTGCGGGTTAACATTGCCTACTGGACTTAATGGTAGACGGGGGTGGAGGGTGTTGGGTGGTAGGTGGGGGGTGGTAGGGGCAGGCTTATACACAGGCTCGGGATGGTAAGAGGGTTGGGGTGGGTGGTAAGGCTTCGGGGTGGGCTTGTACGTTGGCTGTGGGTTGTAGGAAGGCTTGTACTGGGGTAGGGCTCGTCGTAGGTGACCTCCGCCTGGAAGCCGTTGTATTCGTCGGCGACGTAGTTGACCGTCTGGATGCGACCGTCGGGGAGAGCCACCGTGTAGGACCCCGTCACTGCCTTCCCGTCAGAGTTCTCAGAGTGGCCGAAGTTAGTGCCACTGTAGTCATCCCTCACGCCGTAGTCGAAGGCGTAGGGTTTGGGCGCCTGGACACACGATGGGTAGGGTGGGGGGGAGACACGGAGAACATTGTGAGTGACATGACTTGTTTATGGTAAGATATATGGCTCCCCATGACACATACAGTTCCCCATGACACATACAGTTCCCCATGACACATACAGTTCCCCATAACACATACAGTACTCGAAACTCTACAATACAGACGAGGAAGAGTTAATTACATCCATTTGGCATTTGTACTCCTGGATTATATGGAATAAGTACAATTATCATGGATTGGAGAGAAGCATTGTAACGAAGAAGATTAAATACGAGTGACTTAAGATACAAATTGAAAGTGAACCAAGAGGAACACCTACCTCATCGTAGACTGGTTCAGGCTTGTATACAGGTTCAGGCTTGTACACAGGTTCAGGCTTGTACACAGGCTTGGGTTTGTACACGGGCTTGGGCTTGTACTCGGGCTCAGGGTGGTAGGGTGCTGGGGTGTGGTACCGTACTGGGGCTGGATGGTACGGGGCGGGCGTGTATACTGGGGGTGGGTGGTACGGTGGTGTGGTGTAGACGGGGCGGTAGAAGTCAGAAGGGGCGGCCGTGGTGTAGGCGGCCACAACAATGAGGGCGGCGATTACCTGTGTGTGTGAGAGAGAGAGAACACCTGGATGTGAGAGGAGGAGACGCATCATGTACACCTGCTTGTCTACTACGGGACGCTAGCGATGTAGTGTAGCGCCAGAGAGGTAGGTGTGTGTGTGTGTGTGTGTGTGTGTGTGTGTGTGCGTGTGTGTGTGCGTGTGTGTGACGGCAAGTAGAGCACGCTGGACAAATGACTGTGGCCTTGACACTACTTTCACTCCTCTGAAACATAGCAGGTGACGTTAACAGACATTACCAACGCTATTAACCACCCTCACCTGCCAGCCACCAGCAGTCACCAGAAACACCTCCCCCCCCGCTCTCCCCTACTACCTCCCTCCCTTTGACAACCATTACTGCCATTACGAGCTATTACTGCCACCATATAAAGGTAATTGATTCCCCTTAATAGATAAATTAATATACTCAGGTGTAAACAGGTGAACATGAGAGAGAGAGAGAGAGAGAGAGAGAGAGAGAGAGAGAGAGAGAGAGAGAGAGAGAGAGAGAGAGACCTATGTTTTTCGTCATTGTTGTGAGTGTGAGCATGTTGTCACGAGGGTAAGAGGAAACGGTTCTTCTGAGGTGTGGCCTCTTGGGATGGGGCGAGGTGGGGAAGAGGATGGGGTGGGAGGGGTTCATGGGAAAGAGTACTGAATAGGTGGGAGGGGTCAGCAAGAGGGGAGGGGATGAGAATAAGATGGGAAAGAATTTCCTAGAGGAGGAAGAGTGTTAAGGAGGAAAACGAAGAGGAAGGGAAGGGAAGGGAGAGGCATAGGATGAGGACGGAGATGGAATAAGAAAAGAGGAGGGAGGTGAGAAGGGTGTTTAATAGGGGGTCTAAGGACTGAGAAATGGTGACGCTAGAGGTTAGGGAAAATGAGTGGCTAGTATGGGGAAGAGGAGGGAGGAGGAGGGGGTATGGAGTGAGGGGGAGGAGGAGGAGGAGGAGGAGGATGGGCGAGAGGAGGAGAAGGAGAACAAAGCCACAGTCATATTACGTAATGAGTGTTCCGGTCTGGGTAATGTTACAGGTAGTCTTCAGAACCCACTAGAGAGGAGTTGGCAAGTGGTCGATATATTTGCGGGGTTAACTCAATGGACAACTCGATAGGTTAATTTAGTAACCTCTAGATGGCACCTGTTCAGAGATGTGGGTTTTGGGGTTTGGTTGTGTGGGTGTACTTGTGTGGATGGTCGGGGTGTTTTAGGTGTAGGTGTAATGGTGTGGATGGTCGGGGTGTTTTAGGTGTGAGTGTAGTGGTGTGTAGTGACGTATTGAGTCACTGGTGTGTGGTGGAGGAGGTTAGGAGGGGTGAGAGGAGTGACCGTGAGACGAGTGACCGTGAGACGAGTGACTCCGGTGGGCGTGGAGGTTAAGGCTGTAGCGACTGGGAGGTGAAGGGCTTGATGACAATGACTCGAGGTACCAAGAGGGTGTGGTGATGTAGAGGACGTGAGTTAAGGTTGTAATGGTGACGATAGTGCCATTAGAGGATGGTGACGAGGATGGTGACGAGATGTATTAGCCAAGGATGTGGCGTTGGGGGGTGTGGTGAATGGTGTGGTATTAAGAGATATTCGTAATGGTTATGACTGGCATTCAGGTATAGAGTGTGGTGCTACGCGAAGGAGAGGGTGTAGTGTAGTGTGGTGCTATGCGAAGGAGAGGGTGTGGTGTAGTGTGGTGCTACGCGAAGGAGAGGGTGTGGTGTAGTGTGGTGCTACGCGAAGGAGAGGGTGTGGTGTAGTGTGGTGCTACGCGAAGGAGAGGGTGTGGTGTAGTGTGGTGCTACGCTAAGGAGAGGGTGTGGTGTAGTGTGGTGCTACGCGAAGGAAAGGGTGTGGTGTAGTGTGGTGTGGTTCCCAGGAGTGTGATTGAGACAGTGAGTTACCAGAAGAATGGCAGCCATTAGCGGTGTTATTGTACCGGGCGTGTGAGTCTCTGAGGTGCTCGAGATTGGTAAGATTCCCTGCGGGGCGTTCATTAAGATGTTGATAACCCGAGGCCTTGGAAACGCCGTGGTCTCCATTGATTGGTGCAACCCCTCTGAGGGTCACTTGTTACCTCTGTTTATCTCTCTACAATAATACTAATATCACTAAGTTGCCTCATTGTAGAAGGTACCATTGTTACCTCATTATCGAAGGTACCATTGTTACCTCTCTTCTACAATAATTCTATTACAGTGACAAAGATTTCATGTACTGAGTTACAATCCTATACTAATATCGCTGACTTCAATATTGTACACGATTCTAGTTCCGGGTGGTCCTTATTTCACACGGGATCTTGCTTTCGGCGCGCAGTATATGGAAGGAGCAGGTGAAGGTAACAATACGTGGCTTATAATACAGGTAGTTGTGTGTAATATTTAATGGCTCCAGTTCTTATACGTGGTTAAAGTAGTGTTGGTCTCTTTTTTTATTCCCTTCCTTTCATTTTAGTTATTTTTTCCCAGTTGCATATATCGGAGACACACCCTCTTTCTCTCTTTCAATCGTCATTTTCTTTCCATCCTCTACACTTCAACGAAACCCTTTCCTACACTCACTTCACCCGGCCTGATGGACCCACACCACCTTCAATATTCATTCCGACCCATGCCATCCATCACACACACACACACCACCCAGAACAGCCATCCTAAAGGCCCCCTCCTTGCCTTCCATCCTACATCCTTAAGTCCATTCCTCACGAATCTCCAAAAATGAGACACAACCTGCCCCCCCCACTCCCACCAACCAAGAGCCTTTCCACGCCTTCTTCAGCACCGGAGACTGTGGAAAGAGAGAGGGAGATAGATCTCCCCTTCATAGTGGAGAGTCTATTACGGTGCAGGGGAGGGAGAGTCCTGCTACACACCCTTCCCCCTCCCCCTCTCACTTTCCTTTCCCTTGCCCCGCCGCCACCAACACCGCCGTCTGTTTTCCAATACCTTACGAAAATACGATTGAAAAGGAAGAGTAAATTCAATTTTCTGGTTCACACCGCCCGTGAGCGACCCTTGGGTGTGTTGTGCGCGCTGTGTGTGTGTGTGGGGAGGTGTGTGTTTACCAGTGTACATGTCTGTGTGTATATTTCAGTGTGTATGTGTTTACCAGTGTATATGTCTGTGCGCGTGTGTATGTATACTTTTACATATATGTGGGTGTGTGTGCGTGATTATTTCTTTAAGAATTTACACAAATTGCCAGGAACGCGCGTATGACAACCCACAATTACGATAAAGATTCCCGGGCAACCTTAACCATCCCCCTCCCCCTGATGACCTCCCCCTTCCTGACCTCCCCCCTCCTGACATTTCCCCCTCCTCCCTCACCTTGTCCTTCCCCTTCCCCTCCTGACCTTCCCCTTCCCTCCTGTAAATTATCCGTCGTCGCCAGTTCGCGTGGTCGTAACTTCCTCCGTGTAAATCATCTCGTCGTCGCCAGTTCGCGTGGTCGTAACTTTCTAGTAGTGAGTCGGGCAGGCAGGTGCCACGATGTAATGGTGGCGGCCCTCGTGACCCAACGTGTATTAGACAGGATTTACCACCTCTTCTCCTAGTTTCTCCCCCTCCTCTCCCCCTCCCCCCTATTACCTGTGTTTCCCCACCACTGCTACACTTTACCCAATTTATGTTTTCTTATTCTTCTCCACTTTTTCCTTATTCCCCTTATCTTGTTTCTATTTCTCCTCATCATTCTCGTCCTATTACTTCTTCTCCTTTCCTCTTCCTCCTTTCTTCCTTCTCTCCCCCATTAAAGTCGACTTTCTTACTCCTCCCTCCCTCCCTCTCTCTCCATGTAGATAATGCAAATACCATCATCCAATATCATTAAACTGCTTTTAATTTCTCTCACCAATTCTGTCAGAAAAATTGGAAGGTATAAATCATTTTTGATAAGAGCAAAAAATAAAAATAAAATAATAAAATAAAACTCACGGGAGAAAATAAAAATTGAGGAGTTAAATTTTATGACCGATGGTATATTGAAGGGACGATGTTAATTTTTTTTTGTTTTCTCATCGTGTGTATTTGTTGTTGTTAAAGGTAGTAGAGGCCCCGAAGTTTACCTGAGTCTACCTGTATAGTCTGCTCAAGGGGCCACACCTGGGCTTCCTGAAGGTGTTTGGGAGTTTAGTGTTAGTTATCCCGGTAATTACTTGGTCAACCAACTTGTATTGAAACACTGTGTTATGGATCGCTTTTGATGGTATGGATCGAAGGTGTGAACTAGTGTCAGAGTCAGTGGATCAAAAGTCGGTGTCGGGGCTGTGGATAACTTCTCAGTATCGGGGTGTGGATTGTGGATCAGTACGGGTGGATCTGTGTCAGTGATAAGGGGTTGTAAATATAACTTTTGAGTGGATCAGTATCAAGGGTATGGATCAGTGTGGGTGGATTACTGTCATAAGTGTGGAGCCGTGTGGGGTGGATCAGTGTGGGTGGATTACTGTCATAAGTGTGGAGCCGTGTGGGGTGGATCAGTGTCAGGGGCGAGAGAGAGAGAATTTGTTTTGGTCGGGAGAGGTTTAAAGTTGCCTTACTGAGAAAGACCCTCTTAGACTCAGCCCACAGGACACGCCTACCACCCTATTTAAATTGGTCCAGATTGAAGAACTTTCTCCCCCTTGAAATTGGTCCGGGAATAGGATTTATCATAGATCTTGAGCTGCCGAAGTTTCAACGCCATTGGTCAAGAAGCTAAGAATTTCGTCCTATTTAAAAATGGTTCAGAATATTGAGCATCCTCTTGTAAATTGGTCAGTAAATCAGAAATTGGTCGTTTTAATTGGTTGAGTAACACGAAATGCATCCTATTATAATTGACGGTGAATTAAAATGTTATCCTTCCTTCACCTCCCTCCCTCCTTCCATCCCTCCCTCCCTCCTTCCATCCCTCCCTCCCTCACCACATCTCACCTCACCTCACCTCCCTCCTTCTCTCACCATACCTCCCTCCCTCTCTCCCTCCTTTAGGATGTTGGCACAATAACTTTTGAGAAAGAAATAGATCCCAAATGTCGTTTTAATTGGCTGTTAAAGAGACATTAAAAGTTTCTGTGTGAGACATTTAAAGGAAAGTTAACGTGGGGGTGTGGGGGTGGGGGTGGGGATTATACATTTTATTCCTCTACATTTAGGTTTTTAGGAACTTTGTATCCTAAATTTTGTTGTAAATTTTTTGAATTGTTTTCGTATTTTTTTTTAAATTTATAACGTTTAAGGTGATTTTTAAGGTGTATATAATTCAAGTAGAATCATTCAGTGTTTTAAAATTTTATACACTATATGTTTATAAGAATCGTTTATTTATTTTTTTTAAGTAAGAATTATTGGTTTATATTTTTTATAGCGTTTCATTCATTGTATTTATTTATTAATTTATTTATTTATTTGTCTATATTTCGAGTGTTTAAGAATGTTTAAATTAGAATATTAAAAATTCCAACTATTTTTATCAGCGTTTGGTGTATTTATTTATTGTTGTATATATTTTGCCTAAGTATCACTAAGGTTAGTTGATAGTGAAGTCGTCAGTTTTAAGTAGCTTGTGCAAAACGTTATTATAGACATTATATTATTCTCATTTTTAATTTATTTTTATTATTTTTTTACGTTTAACAACTTAGCGCAAAATGTTGATAACTTTCAAATTATTGTTACCGATATTACATTTAATGGTTACATATAATCGTGTAGTTTTGGATACATATCTTTTCATATGTATATTACGGTACTTGCTGCAAGACACTGTAAAATATAGGTGTTTCCTCTACTTAGTTTGTACTGTATCTTGTATGTCAATTTGTGGTTTTTTCTTCATATTGTTACTACAGTTGTCTGTACTGTTTGCTTGAGTTTGGTTCTGTATCAGTATTTCTGTATGTAACTTTCTGACATTATCACCACTGTATCTGTACTGTACAACTAAATACGTACTTATACTGATATTTGTTTATGTATTGTCACCACCTGTAAATTTCCGGACCAGTACTTTTAGTTTTTAATCTCTACGGGAACTGATATTTCTCATCGGGGTTTTTAATTCTAACTCTTGTAAACTTGTGGCCTCGAGGAGTCAGGAGAAAAGTGCCAACCTGACGGTCTTCAGGAAATACACCTTTAAAGGCCTGGCAGTGGACGGACATTTAGACAGCCGTGTGGGAGGGACTCGCTGGGTGCGTTGCTTGCCACTAAAAACCCCCTTAGAGAAATGACTCTCTCTCTCTCTCTCTGATCCTTCTTCAACCTCAGTAGCAGCAGAGGTATATTTTTCCTTTTAATGGGCAAGGTATTCAACGTTTTATACGGCTTAAATCGAGGGCAAATCGAAATGCAATTCAAAGAGACCTTTAAGGACGTGATTGGTTACAGACAGATCGCAGTAATGATCCGGTCTCACTGTTTAATAGTATTTTCTTAAGTCATTTATATAGCGGGTACAGTCGCGCTTATTAAGAACGACTTTTTATGTATCAATGTTGAGCAATGTGTGTGACGATTCGGCGTTGAGCGAATGATTTTTACGAATCACGCTAGAACTTCATATTAAAACGCTTTAGGTTATAAGTGCGTTGAAAACCAGCATCATTATTCTTGGTGTAAAGTCACTTGAGTCTTTTGTGTTTGACGTCAATACTGGTGCTGTCCCCCCACTTGCTGATGGTGAGGTGTCCAACAGGCGTGCCCAGGCTTTCCTATTTGAACATTATTTATAACAGCCATATGAAGTAATTGTCGTACAAGGGGTTCGTTAGGTATGTGTTCTGGTACCACTTCTTATTCATTTTGGTTTCCCTTTTGTTCTTGGCTCTAGTATGCATGGCTGCCATACGGTTAAGCTAATTATTACTGTGATTGTATGATAATAATAATAATAATAATAATAATAATAATATTAATAATAATAATAATAATAATCGCTAATATTTGCAAAATGATTAGTGTGAAGATATTTTTTTATAAATTACAATTGTGATCTTTATCCTTATGATTTTGAAAACTATTAAAAATAAAAACCCTTTCAAAAAATTGGAAAGTATAAATTGTAAAGGTAGCCAAGGAAAGTAATTCGCGAAAGTCCCTTTAAATATCTGAATTGACAAACAAAAAATTCTATATAATGTGTAACAAAATCATCCAACGGGACACCATTCCTGAAACGTAAATTATGTGTAAACAAATAGAATAACGGGATGAAAACTTTATTGAATGTGGCTAGTTGAATTTTTATGCGAAGTGTTTGTTTACGTCAGCGGGTGTGGGTTGAAGCGACGCTTGAGCAGTGACGTGACGAGTTGGTGGAACAACTTTCACTGTTTATGACTTGTGCGTAAATATTGACTCCGTGACTACTGCCATGTTACACAAATACAGTATAGACATTATTTTATGGGTATCCCTTGTATATTCAGTCGGAATATATATATATATATATATATATATATATATATATATATATATATATATATATATATATATATATATATATATATATACATATATATAACAAAACAGGGAGGGGGTGAGCCAGTACCTTGAGGGGTGCCATGGTGGTAGAGCAGGTGTGGTGGAGGGCCAGATAGGAGGCACTGATGCAGGGAACACCGCTGAGTCTGCTTATATACTCCGGCGCTCTCTCCTATCTAGACCTTGGCTGCCCCCGCCTCTACTGCACGCCCTCCTGGCCCCTCGTCTCCCAATGCCCCTCCCCTCCATCTTCCCTCCCTCAATGCCCCCTCTCTTTCCTCATGTGTAGAGCCCCTCCCTCTCAATATCTATCCTCCCTCCTATCCCCCTTCTATCTCAATCAATGTTTCATTTCCTATCTCCATTTCCATCTGTCCTTTATTCCCTCCCTCCATCTCTCCTTCCTTCTCCACCTCCCTTAGTTCCCTCTTCATACTCTTCCCTCTATCTACGTCCATCCCCAACCTACCAACCCACCCACCCCACCTCTCAAGTGCCCCGCCCCCACTCCCATAGCATTACCATACAGGGAGTCTGGTGGCGTGATGCGGGGCACAACCCCCCGTCATGGTACCGTAGAATAACCAAGTCTCGCTAATGGTGTCATAACCGCATGGGGTATCTCTCTCTCTCGTAATCATTTCCCATATTATTCGTGTGTCTCTCGCTTTCATTTTCTCTTTCTCTCGTTATACTGTCGTTGATATCTCATCCAGTGCTCTAATGGGTGATATTGGAACGCTTGCCTTGCCTTGCCTTGCCTTGCCTTGTTTATTTTCGAACCATCGTCTCCCTGATATTCAAACCACCGCCCCTTTCTGATAATACTCAGGCCATCGTCTCGCTAGTATTCCACTCTAATTATTTCCGTTTCTTCACCACTGTGTCGCCAGAGTATTGTTCACTAAGTCCTTAATGGTCTCACTGTGCTTCTTTCTATGAGTGATCCTCCAACCCTGCAGGTGACCTCACTCCAATTAGTAGCTTCAAGATCTTCAACTTTTATGGTTTATAATGTGTCGTCCACTAGTGTATGTATGATATAGTTATATACGAGGTGTACTGTATATGTATAGTGTATGTGAGTTTGATAATAATGATGGGAGTTATTTGATATAAAGAGTAAAAAGTAACACAGTAGTTGTAGATAATAATGATAATATTCACATAAAAGAATTGTAATAATAATAATATTGGTGAGAGTAATGAATATGGAGAAATTTAAGTAATTTTAATAAATACTCCAGTACAGTATATATTATAATTTATTAAAGGCATTAGTATTAATAATAACAATAGCAGCCCCAAATAAAGTAATAACAATAAATAATGATGATGGTTATAATAATAAAAGTAAGGTCATAATAATGAAGGTAATAATAATAATGAGGATTTTAGCCATCTTTCCTCCCCGTATAACAGAGTATTAGGGCACAGTGTAGGTGACCCTCGAGTATTAGGGCACAGTGTAGGTGACCCTCGAGTATTAGGGCACAGTGTAGGTGACCCTGGCATCAGCTGGTGGGTATGGTGGCCCCTCTCCCCTTCACCCCAGCTGGCACACTGAACAACACTCACCCATAAAGTGATGAGAAATTTTAAAATCGTGGCGTTTTAAAAGAAGGATGACATAACCCAGGATCGACACGTATCTCAGCATAACTTAACTTTAGTCTAACCTGCCCTTAACCTCTTGTAACTTAACTCAATTCCAGCCCAACCAAACCTAGCCTAACTTAACCTATCTTGGCTTAGTGGAAAGTAAAATTTGTACACAGGCCTCACGTTCCTCAAGGGTAGTGAACAGTAGAGGAACCACAATGCGTTATATAATATACTAACTCTAGTCGCAGCTCAGTCAAGTTCCAGTCGGATTTCCTCGCCGCTGGAAGAAGACTTTTTATCATCAATATTTTCCCCGTTGTTCTGAATTTCCTCCCAAATTATTATTTATTCCAGAATTTTACTATTTTATCCATGATATTGAAACCATAAGTTCATTTTTGGGGTTAAAGTTCAATGTACAGTTAGGTTTTTACTCTTATTCACTGAGACCTGTTAACAGTATGATAATGTAGACGTATAAATTGGGATTGAATTAATTAAAAATAAATTCTAGCTTGGGCCACAGGTAATGGAAAATATCTTTGAAGTAGGTAATTAATATATAGTGGTATATTAAGTGAGAGATATTAGAATTAGCTTTTGGGGAATTCACTTTTAAGTATTTCGTTCGGTTTTGTGGTTTCGTTCGTATTATTAATCTATTGAGTACGATGACTTAAGCCACCGTACTCAAGAGATTAATGTAAATGAGCCCTCAATATTATTGCTCTCGTCTCGTTATATATAAATTAATACTGTTCTCTCTTATCCATGCTTATCCCTGTCGTTACTGTGTTTACCGTATTAGTTAAGGTTTAGACGAAGAGAGAGAGAGAGAGAGAGAGAGAGAGAGAGAGAGAGAGAGAGAGAGAGAGAGAGAGAGAGAGAGAGATTAAATGCTGTGTAAATCGAGAGCCGTCTTTGTAATTGCAAGTTTGTACAGTCGACACAATCATCACACTTTGGTAGACACAGGTGTTGTATATGGGGTGTGGGAGGATGTGTGCAGGTACCATACGACGATCTGTGTGTCCGGCCGTCCGTTTGTAAATTTATGAAGTGAAAACTCTGTCCTCCCTTTCCTAGTGTGTTGATTCACCTCACTCACTCATTCTTACTCACTCATACTCACTCACTCACACTCGCTAACCTAGAGAACAATTATAGCACTTATTTCTACCGTTCCCTCCCTCCCTCCTTTCCTACCTGAGCGATTCACACGGTTGAGAATGTGGACCTCTGGCGGGGCTGGGTTGGGCAGGGTGTCGTGTCAGTTACCTCACAGTGTTGGTTATTTCACTCTCGTTCATCCTATCTTATAATGTGTGGGGCAAAAAGTGACACCATTTCGCACTGCAGTCTTTTCCTGTCTGTCGGCTCACCTGTCGCCTGTGACCCGGATGTGACATGATTTGGGACTGACAGGTAACAGGTATTGATTAATTATGGGTTTTTCATTCACTTTCTTCAACTATTTTACATGTTTATTATCGGTTTTAATTTCATCGTGTGTGGTATGTAATTTATTTTTTATTATATGGATCGATTGTCTACGTTTTTCTCTTTATGTATAGATAAATATTTAACGAACGAACACACACACACACACACTAGAGGATGTATACATAATTATTATTCACCACCGTCCATCTCACAAGTAGTTGGGCCACATCAGGTGATTGCGTACACTGTCTTCAAGAACTGGGTGGCTCTTTATTTTTTTGCCTGACTCGCCGTGGCGTCCAGCGAGGGGAAAGAAAAAAAAATCACTCGACAGACGATAGCGTATTTTTGGCTGCGTTCAATCAGCTAAGTGCGCTCCTTTCCTGACTTGACTGTTGTTGTTTTGTTTTTCTCGCGTAAGTTTTAATTCTTTGTTTGTGAATTGTGGTGGTTTAGGTTATGCTGTGTGAATCAAGTGTGGTGAGCAAGGTGTTAATGGTGTGTGTTTTAATTGGTGTAATAAGTAAGTTGTGCTTGTGGTGGTATTTTAAGTGACGCTGGTGTTGGATAATTGGTCAGAAGTGAAACTCATTAGATATAAGGGTTTGTGGTGTGAGACGACCCCCCCCCCTCCCCCCATTTCACTTGCCGTCCCCAGTTTTCCCTAAATTCCCTCCCTTTATTTCCCTTGCTGCTCCATATTTCTCATCCCCTATTCTCTTTCATCCCAATTTCCCCCCTCCCCCTTATTTCTCCCTCTTCCTTATTCCCCCTCTTCCTTTTTTCCCCCTCTTCCTTATTTCCCCCCTTCCTTATTTTCCCCCCTTCCTTATTTCATCCTCATTTCCCCCCTTCCTTATTTCCCCCTCCCCCTTATTTCCCCTTCTTCCTCATAAAGAGTAAGTTTAATTGTCAACATCCTGTGTTATACAATAGTGTGTAATGGAGCCTCCACTTAATAACTCCACACACAATTTAACTTTTAACCCCTTGAGCATTGTATAACTCCACACAATTAAACCTTTAACCTCTTCAGTACTATAACTTAGCTTCCCACTATGAGGTTAATTTGACTCTATTTTTGCAGTTATATTCTAAATTGTTGTGGAAGGAATCTGACTGACTTCATTGTGTGTGTGTGTTTTGGGAGGGATTGAGTTCAGGTGGTCACGGTCGCTTGTGGTGATGACGCCGTGCCGACCCCACCCACCCACTCACTCACTCACTCTCCCTCACACCCATCCATCCACACCCACCCACCCACCCAAACCCACTCAAGCCCACCCAAACCCCAGATTTACTCAAATCTGTCTCACTGAAGTGTTTCACTGAGGGTGTCTCTTGCGGTACCTCACTGATTTTGCCCTTCTCCTTTTTCCTTTCTCTGTTCTGCTCTTCTCTTTCTTCTCTCCCTCCTCTCAGTTGTCTCACTTAGGGACCTCATGGAGATGTCTCTCTGAATTGGCCGTCGACAGTTGTCTCAAGGAAGAGGAATCTATTGGTCTTCAGGAGGAATCTGTTCTTAGTCTCTGCAGTTGACTTTAGTTACCGTCTTCAGCACCGAGTCTCGCCTCTTCCTTGCCCAGACTCCGGCCAACTGCTTGTAAATAAGACACAATATATTTACAGATATTTACCAACGTCAGATTGTGTTTACAGACACTTTTACGCTCGTTAGTTTGTATTTACAGACCCGTTTTTATTTGCCGACATTTATTTTCGCTTATCCTTTATGATTTACAAGCATCGGTCCTCTTGTGTCTGAAATATTTATACGTTTATTTTCACCCAGCGATTGATATTTACAGACATTTGCCTCAGTTAATTTATATTTACTCTTTCCTCTCTGGCACCTTGTTTACGGACGTTTTCCTTAGTAAATAATTGTTTACAAGCATTAAGTTACTTTGTTTTATTTCTGCAAAAATTTGCCTTATTTTATTATTATTATTATTATTATTATTATTTTTTTTTTAACAAACTCTTACCTTTGAGTTTTAGGAGGGTGAGGCGTTTACGAGATGCCGTTCGCTTGTATACAATTCCATTTTATTGACACCCCTAA